CTTATCTTGTATTTTGATGGGGATAAGAAAGATAACGAGATATCATATACTAATAAATATCTGTATTCAAACAAATTCAAATGGGTAGAGCTGTAGTGAAGTTACGTGTTCATTCTAGCTCCAACTTTTTGTTAACTCCAGTAATCATCAGGTTACTGATGATGGACACTTATTAATATGACCATGGAAATTGCCAGATAAAACCATGAGAGACATTCAGAGTTTAATAAGATAAAATTTAAAAACTATAGGGCATTCCTGGTGTTGCAGAGGGTTAAGATGCTACCTATGAAGCTGTCCACAGCTACTGCAGCATGAGTTTGATTCCTGGCCAGGGAGCTACCCACATGGCACAGCAGACCTCTCCTGTCTCACCCGCTGATCCCCTCAGCAGTGTATTTCAGTCAATCTGCCTGTTCTGTTCCCCACTCTGTCTCTGGTGAATCCTCTCACCCCCACACGTCTGGCCTGTACCCCAGTTCTTCTATGCATAAATAAATAAATCCTTAAAAAAATTTAAAAACTATATTGTAAGGTCCCAAGATAGGATGATAGGAATGTTGGTGTCAGTCAAATCTAAAGTTCTTTACTGTAGGCAGTAACTCTTCTGAGGCAAAAAAAAAAAAAATCTAACCAAGGTAGCAACTCAGTTTGGAGTCGCAGATTTCTTCATTTATTATAAATCCAGTGATGACTTGGATGAAGACTACTCCCTCTGTTTCCTTCCTCTCATGCTTTGTATCATTTCTTCCATTTATTTGACTTATATGTAAATATATATGAACATATATTGTATGTAAACAAACATACATATGTAATTGAATACATTGTTGGTATTTTGTAAAAACATACAAGTTAGATAAATATTAACAATTTTTTTTAACCTGTTCTTTCTTTGATGCCTTTCCTCACTTTGTGTAGATAATTTTGCAGGGTGTAGATTTCTAGGCTTGTGGGATTTTCCCCCCAATAATTTAAATAACTTATTCCAGTATCTTCTTCCTTGTATGGTTTCTGAGAAGTCAAATATAATTCTTATATTTGTCCCTATGTAAGTAAGGCAGTTATATTCTTCCCCCAGTTCTTTCAGGTTTTTTTTTCCTTTAGCTTTTTCTTTTTCTTTTTTCTTTTTTTTTGCATTTACCTTATTCAGTGACCTTTGAGTTTCCTGAGTCTATGGTTTATGTCCCACATTAATTTGGGAAAATTTCTCAGTCACTGTTTCTCTCTTCTATTTCTGATATTTCCCACTACATTTATCTTAAACTTTTTAGCTGTTCCATAGCCCTTGGCAATATCCATCTCTGTTCTCCATGCTTTTTGGTTTTTAGCTTGGAGATTTTTTTTCTCAGTTGTGTCTCATCTGCTAGTGACCCTATCAAATATATTCTTCAAGTTAGAGTGTTTTATCTCTAGCATATCTTGTTGGTTCTTTCTTAGCATTTCCATTTCTCTACTTACATTATGCCTTTTTTTGGTATGTTGTCTACTTTATCAATTAGAGTACTTAGCATATTAATCATAATTATTTTAAATTCCTGGTCTGATAATTCCAATATTCCCTACCATGTCTGTTTCTGATGCTTGCTTCCAATTTTCCCCTGGGCCCCCATGGTATGTCTTATAATTTTTTCTTGATAGCTGGACATGATGAAATTTGCTAAAGGGAACTGCTAAAATAGACCTCTAGAAAAGTGTGTGAGGAAGAGGGAAAGTTCTTTGTAGTCCTATGATTAGATATCAGGCTTTTAGTGAGCCTATGCCTCCAAGAGTGTATTTCACAGGTGTTTCTTTTTTTTTTCGTTTTTTTTTTTTTTTTGGTCTCCCCTTAGATGGGTTTGGTTGGCAAGAGTCATCTAGATTTGGGTATTTTCCTTCCCCCATTACAGCAAGGTTCTGGTAGTACCCCCACTATGTTAGGGTCGGATCAGCTAGTTTCCCTTTAGGTCAGTTTTTGTAAAGAAGAGCAGTGTTCTGCTGTATTTCAGAACAGTTCATGTCTTCCTCCGACTTCTGTAAGCAGGAGTGAATTTTTTTTTTATTGTGATATTTTCTGTGGGAACTTAAGCTCCTAGACACATATTATACAATATTGTGGGGACCCTTCTATGACCAGGTCTGCCTAGAGTTTGTAACTCCCATATTGATCCACATAGAGCCTCCAGCAATTTGTTAATTATAGTTCAGGTTTTTTATTTTTGTCTCTGTATCCTGAGGTGGTTTCTGTTTTAGTCTATGCTCTGGTACACGGCTGTTCACTGTATTCACCTGTTTCTCCAGTCGTGGGGCTCAGAGGGACGTTTGCCCTGTGCCCTTACCTAACTTAAAAACCCAGAAAGAAAAATAGTTTCTTCAGTTTGTCCAGCTTTTGTACTTGTTAGGTTGGAGTGGTGACTTTCTATCTCTTTGTATGTGTAACCAGAACCTGTTACCAATGAATGTGTCTTTTCTTTTGACATAATTATAGACATACGGGAACTGCAAAAATATTAGAAGTCCTGAGTATCATTCATCCCAGTTCCCCAAATAGTGACACCTCACCAGTCAATTTTTACTGAACATTGTAGGAAAACAATAACAGAAACCTCCAACACTCCCAGGAAACAGAGATGAGGCATCCCATCCCAATTTTCTTCATGAGTTCTGCACTATCTTCATACTAATATCTGACACCAAAAGGCATACAAGGGAAACTATAGGTAAATTTTTCAGATTAAAAAAAATCCTACACAAAATATTAAAATATCAGTATCTAGTAATTTATAGAAGTGAAACCTCACATAAGCAAATTTGGTTCATATCAGCAATATAAAGGTGATTTAAGACTTAAAACTCAATGAGTGTGATTCATATAACATATAAAATGGGAAATCATATGACCATATGATAAGAAATATGTGTATTTAAATTAAAATTCATATATAAAAAGAAACTTAGTAAATCAGGAATGAAGGTGAACTTCTTTAGATAAAATATATCTGTAAAACCAAAGCAAGCATGCCATAATGAAATGTTGAGAGCTTTCCCTCAGAGATCAAGTCAAGTGGAAAAATCTTAATTTTATAATTTTATAGTGCTACCTTAAGAAGAAATGTCTATTTTAGGGCAGTTGGGCACTTTTCCTTTAGGGAAGATCCAAAAATCAATAGGTAGTATTCAAAAGTAGGCTTGCCAACAGGAGTTTCCTATGAAGAAATCTATTGTCTTTTAAAGGAAAGGGTTTGACCAAAAAATGCAGTGACCTAATCCAACTATTTTAAATTACTTAATTGCAGTGTTTCATTCTATTTGGATTGGACAGTAGCTATGAAATTAAAGATGATGCATTTTGTTAATGTTGAAATCTGGCTGGACCATGATTAACGAGATGTCTCATATTCTAGTCACATTGATTGCCTTAATCATTGTCCATCTCTTTTTCATACATTAACTACAACATAAATTTGTGTAGTTTTTAGTAGTTTGTCATTTTCTACATAAGGAAATAAACTCAGATTAATTGTTAAGAAAACAAATTTCAGGGAATTCTTGCATAGTTATCTATCTTCAAGGATTTTTTTTCACATCATTGACTAAAAGTGATTAAGAAGTACAATTTTCTGTTGTATATTTAGGTAAAATGTAGGAAAAGTTTTTCATACTCAAGTGCTATATTGAATTTTCCCACATTTTATGACTATACTATTTCCCCTCTCTTTAGTTTTATTATAATTAATTTTGATGTTAAAAATTTGAGCAGTCCACAATCATCTTTTGTCCAATGCTTTGTGAACAGACTGTTGGAATGAAGTGCATTATTTTAAGAGATCTACTTACTGTTCTACTGCTATAAAGCTAATTGTTGAGATATTCATTCTTGTATTTTTCTCAGAAAATTCAGACACATTCTTTGTGCTTAGAGTTCCATGTCTTACTGTTTATTCCTTTTCTTCCTTATCACATGTCACGTTCATCTACTTACCCTCTTCAGCATGATGATTTACATGTTTTATTTTGCTTTCTTGATACTTACCTCAATTATTCTAGTAATCTACAGCTTCTCTAAAGAGCCAAAGGAAGCCTAGCACTGTTTGCCTAGTGATCACCTCAGACAAGTAGACATAATTGAAGACCTTCTCAAGTAGTAAATCACATGGTGAACACAATGGCAAACACACTGCACTGTTTTATGGGTATTGATAATGGACCCCAGACCTTGGAGTCTCTCTTCTGTTTTCATAAGTAAAATGATATTAAGGATTATCTTTACCCAAATAGCCTTGTGCAATAACATATCAAATCAGTAAAACATGTCAATAACAAGAGTTTCACTTCCATGAAGACAGGAAATTCGGGCACATTCTTTGTGAGTAGAGTTCCATGTCTGATTTATTGTTTATTCCTAAGACTGAATTGTATGTTTCTTTCAGTACTATCTGTATGGAACTGGGTGCAAGGCTTGGCATATAGCAAAAACTTGATATACTTGAATAGATGATAGAATGCATTGGTGAGGATCTCTAAAATATTCATTTTTAAAAAAAAAGATTTATTTATTTATATAAGAACCATGGTATAGGCCAGAGGTGCGGGAAGGTGAGAGATTTCACCAGAGACAGAGTGGGGAACAGAACAGGCAGACTGATGAAATACACTGCTGAGGGGAGCAGTGGGCGAGACAGGAGAGGTCTGCGGCACCATGTGGGACCCTCGCTGGCCGGCTGGGATCAAACGGGCACTGCAGAGGCTATGGACAGCTTCACAGTGCTGTGCTCAACCGCCTGCGCCACCAGGGGAGGCCCTCTAAAATATTCATACCAGCCTCCAAGAGTGTTTCTCACCATTTATAAATGTACCAGGGGCAGTGACAAGTCAAATACGGCCATCTATCTATTTTCTTTAATCTGTGTTAAACTCAATAGGGCTTTTCAGCTAGAGTAATTATTGAGAAGCCAAGAAGAGATCCTGAAGGTTGGTTTCCTAATCACCCACTGATTCTCTACCTCTTCTCTTGGTTCTAGGTTGACTCTTGACCCTTTGGATTGTTGCTGAAAGCAGAGGGACAACTGACACAGGTTCTGGAATGTGACAAGTAAGAATTATTTTATGACACTGGTTTTCTAAACATCTGGCTCTTGAGAAAGCAACTTGTCAGTTTTCAGATGGTTGTGCAAATTGTTGATTGTTTTGACATTAAAAATTGAAATTTATATTGGGTTATTGATCATAATGAAAATAAAGCCAGGAATTATATGCACAAAGAGAAAGCAGCAGGTCAAAAAGAATAGAGAAACATTGATTTTGTTTAAAATTTTTTTTCAAGAATAATGATTTAATGGCCAGCATGAGTCAAGAGATTTTAATCCTATACAAAATCAGTTAGCAATGGGTAGAATAATTTCATTACTTAAAGCACAGAATTATTTATAATCTTTTAATTTATTTATAATCTTTAAATTTATAACAACACTTGAACCATTTCTAATGATGAATCCATAAAGACATCACTGAAGGCTACATTGTGGGGTGTTCTGCCTGTACTGTCTTCTATGTATGTTATGGTTTCAGGTCTTACAACTATATCTTTTATCCATTTTGGATTAATTTTTGTATATAGTATGAGACAGTGATTTAATTTCATTTCTTTGCTTGTGGCTGTTAAGTTTTCCCATCACTATTTCTTTAATTGACTTTCCTTTCACCAGTGTATATCTTGGTTCCTTTGTCATAGAGTAACTGTCCATAAATCAGTGTGTTAGTTTATTTCTGGGCTCTTAATTATATTCCATTGATTTATGTGCCTGTTTTTCTCTCAATACCAAATTGTTTTGATTATTGTATCATTTTATTATTGATTGCATAGAGGGCAGTGTGGCAGAGTATACAATTTAGAATGTGCTTTATTCAAAAAGTTGTTTGAACTAGGTACTCATATTGCCATTTCATGTATGAAAATGTTCAGGCAGAAAAATTAATTTGCCTTAGGTCACACAGAATATAAGTGGAAATACCAGCATTAAAACCAGACATTTTGTTCCAAAGTTGTTACATTTGATCACTTTTTATTACTTCCACTTCCAACTTTGTGCATGAAAATACTAAGGTTCTGGTGTTAAGGAATGCATTGAAAGTTACACGGATGGGGATCTGAACTCAGGCACTAGGGCTCCAGGGATAAGAACCAATTAAGGCTCTTAAAGTACACTTTAAGTGTCACTGTTTCAGTAGGAGAATTTAAACCCAGTTGTCTAGTCATAATTAATCATGTAATACAAAGTAAATAAAAGTGTATAATAGATTTATCTAAAATTACATATCTATATGTAAAAAATGTATTTGATGCAATATATGGCATTCAGGTATAAAACTGGGTGCACCCACCAAATAACAACCCACAATTTTAATTTATCTTGGGTAAAATAAATAGGTGAGTTTGTTCTAATCAGAATTTGACAAAATATGACTTCAGCTGGGACAGGAAGTATTCTGTTTTTCCTCTCCTATCTCCATCTTGATTTACTCTCCAAATTATTACCCCCCACCTCCTTGCCCTTATTACTGTATAGCCTTGATTTTTTTTAAAAGGTAGTACAGAATTTCTGAAAGGAGTTCTATTGTAGTTTCAAGGAAGGAAAATATCTCATATGTTTTAATCTTTGCAAATCATTCAAGCATTATTTAGGAAGTAAATAAGCTATAAATTAAAGCCACTAAATTAAGCATATAATCATGAATTTTATAAATTCATAAATTTAAATGAGAATCTATGATTAATATTTACACTAAGTATAATCACACATCCAATTTATTAAAAATTTCAAGTTTAATTATAGATAAAATTTTGTCGTTTGGCAAATAGCATAATAATCTGTTTCATAAAAATTCAACTCTTGAAAGTATGGCTCTGTAAATCATTTTGGAGAAATTCCAGGACAGTGGGAGTAACCAGTATTAGTTCTTTTGGCAGCATTCAAAGGCAGACATAAGGTGGCATGACAAAGACAAGGGTGATTCAGTCTGCTATTGAATACATACTATGTTAAATAAGGCTGGCCACCCTTTTGTTTAAAGTATATTAAAAGCCACCCTTCTATTATCAGTACTAGTTATATGATGATAATATCACTTTTAGGAAATGTGACACAATTGTTTTTGTTTAATAAAATTAATACTTTCTATGGCTTTTTAGCCCATTGTTTATGTTCTCAAAGAATAGCCTTGAAATTATCTAGTAATGACCAGTATAATTTTATGATCTTTAGCTACAATTTCTCAGAAAATCTTAGAATATTATGTCCATTGTGACATTTTGGTTTTCCCAGTTTCTGACACAGGGACTCAATAATATTTAATTTGACACACATCAAGAAAACACATCCTGAGCAAACACTCCATGCTGTGTCCTATAAAAAAGTGTACCTTTTCCTGAGGCTGGGGGTCTCGTTTTATTTGGAGCAGCATTAAGGATGTCTGGAGGCCACTAGTAGGCAGGATGTATTCTCATAGCAAAGCTGATCTAATTCAATATGAATCCTGAAACAGAGGAACACTGTTCAAAATATTATCTGCCATTTTTAAGTTCTTAAAAGTTTAGATTGTCACCTACTTCAATTACTTGAAAAGCTTCATAATGTACATTCTGTGGTTATATTAAGCACAGATTTGAAGCAAGTTAGAAAGGAGGAGTCAAATGGCCAACTATAGTGTCTCCCTCTGTCCTTCAAGATTTCTTTTACTCTGTTGCTTGTGGAACTGCTAAGACAGTGAGCAGAAATTATGGGAAGGTGATGGAGGGGTATGTGAGAGAAGGAAATGGAGAAACCATCCCCCATTGATACAAGTTGCAAGCAGAAGACAAAATAGATGCCTGAATGCAACTGAATGTCTATTTGAAGAAGGCAAAAATTATGACAATCAGACTATGCTATGCATTAGAACACTCAACTGTTTTCTATTTAAATGGACAAGGAATTTTTAATTAGTGATTTTATTTTTATGAAAGGAATGCTGCATTATAAAATTATATAAGTTTCAGGTGTGCATCAATAAAAATCAACATGTGTGTAAACTACATTAACTTCAGCACTAAAAGTCTGATTCAATCTGCTATGTCTCCTACTATCCAAAATAATCATCTCCTTCCCTTCTCCCACTAATGGTTCTATAATCTAAAAGTTTGTTTTCACTTTATTTAGTTCATTTTTTTTGTTTTGTTTGTTCATTCTATATAGTGCATATACTTGAAATCATCTGGTATTCACCTTTCTCTGACTTATTTTTACTAAATGTAATACCATTTAGGCCTATGCATGTTGCAAATGGCAGGATTTTGTATTCTTTATTTATAGCTAAGTAATATTCTATTGTGTGGCTATACTGTGCCATCTCTATCCACTTGTCTGGGTGCACTTATGTTGTTTCCATGTGGGTTCATAGCTCTTCAAATTAATATTTTATTTTGGTAAATGCCCAGAAAAGGGAATACTGGATGTGGAATTTCTATTTTCATTTTTTTTCAGGAATCTCCATAGTCCTTTCCATAATGGATGCACCAGTTTATGTTTCTTGTCAACAGAATACAAGGGTATCTTTCTCTCCACAATTTTCCAACTTGTTTCTTAACTTTGGGATAATAACCATTCTTACAAGTATAAGGTGATTTCTCATTGTTGTTTTGATTTGCATTTCCTTAGTAATAAGAGATGATGAACATCTTTTATTGAGTTTTGTTCATGGGATTTTTTTATTTTTTTAAAGATTTATTTATTTTTATACAAGAGCTGGGGTACAGGCTAGATGTGCAGGAGGGTGAGAGGATTCACCAGTGACAGAGTGGGAAACAACAGGCAGACTGACGAAATACACTGCTGAGGGGAGCAGTGGGCATGGCAGGAGAGGTCTGCTATGCCATGTGGGATTCTCGCCGGCTGGTGGGGATTGAATCTGCGTTGCAGAGGCTGCAGACAGCTCCACAGCGTGGCGCTCAACCCTCTGCACCACCGGGGAGGCCCTCTTGAGATTTTTTAAGATACATGCATATGGACATGTGTACACCCACATATATGATGGATGTATTGGAATAAAACAGACACATTAATCAATGGAATGGAATCGAGAGCTCAGGAATAAAATGAAAAGAAACCCTATTGAAAGGGAGAATGTTATTGGTGATTTTAGCTTCCTATTTTCCCAGGCTGAGGTAGATCAGGTTGGGTACTAAGAGAAAAAGAAGAAAAATCTATACAATGTTTATTAGAGGAAATTAAAATATCTCAGCTTGATCTGTCACTGAGTTGAGACTGATCAGTCAAATATCTGTTCACAAGGCGTTTATTTAATTTAACTTCCATTTAAAGAATTGAGGAAAGATGACATTTCCTTCTAACTAATTCAGGAAAATCCCAAGAATTGGGGTGAGGTAATCATTGTATCTTAAAATGTGGGCGTTATCCTATGGCTTCCTTTTTTGCCTGATGTTCCTTCACAAACTCAGCCTTCCTGGGGACAACACATTTTATTTTTGCCTTCAGTCGAGCTGCTCCTGAAAACTGTCATTTTGCCTTCCTTAATACAAAGTGAAACCTGTCAGGCTCATGTCTGTGCCTTTGGCACTCGCTCTACTTCCTGTTTTGGATGTCCTTTCCCAGGTTTTCAGTTCTTTTCTCATTACCTTTTCTAATTTGTTTTTATTCTGAACTGAGAAAAATGCCCTCTTGGGAAATGAGCCATGTCCCTTCACGCTTTATTCTGTTACACTGGACTTTTCTTTCTTCTGTGATGCTTTTTGCCCTCATCTTGGATCATCTTAACCCTTACTCATAATCTAGACTCTGTTGACTGGAAATCTCCCAGGAACCCTCCCAAACACCCCATAGCATCATGAACTGCTCCCTCTTAGCTTTCACCACTTACAGCTTGGAATTACACTTACAGCTGTATGATTGATTAAGCATCATGCACCATTCTAATGAAGATCTCATTTCTGATCTCCCTCCCACCATAGTCCCCATCCCAGTTTTTTCCCCCATTAGGCCAAGGTCACTGACAGCATTATATTAGGGGTAGGGAGATAGGCTACATGAGACAAGAGGC